CTGGAATCATGGTAGGGCTTTTCCTTCACCGCAGCCCCCACTAGGGTTCTAAAAATCTCTCCATGTCAATGGACAGACCAACAACCACCAGACTGAAATATCAGGTTTATGTGTCATTTGCCTTTAATAAAAAAAAAAAAAACTTGACTAGAGGAATCCTTTGTCCTCACATGTATGTTTAATTCTGCGGTCTGGGTTCCTTCAGCAGAATATTTGCTGTGTACGCTCTGCTGGAAAGGGTTATAAAAACGGGAAGCAATATCCGGAGGAACAGGTTTGTTTTGTTGCGGGTTATAGTCAGGAACCGCACAAATGCGAATTCCAAAATCAACTCGACCGTACGTTAAAACAAAACCGTCTCCCCTCAACTCTACCGGTAAACAAGGCGGCATGGGGCGGATTTCCTGAAGAACCTCGGTAACAAAAACCTCCAAAAGAAACGAAGTAAAAAAAAAAAAAACAAATCAAATAAAGCGCAAACACATAAAAATATTGCAAATGAAAATGGAACAACAATCTCATTTCACACTGCGTTTTGCGCTATAAACTCGCACACATGGCATGGAAGTGCTGGAAGGCAAAAACTGAATCCGCACTTCATTCAAATTAAACCCCCCGAATTGTTTTCACTTTAGAAGGTTTCATTTCCATTAATCCTTTCTGCGCTGGAGAGATTAAAACACTGGATCTCAGACCACAGCCATGCAGTTAAAAACCTAACAGGATGATTGCTGCACCGGCACACGGCAGGATTTGTTGTGACCGCCAACCTAAAGACTCGGCATGTTTATTAATCTCCGCCTAAAGTGTATGTAAACCCAAAATGTATTGTTTTGGTATGTTTGCCATCATGTCTCACTGTATGCATTTTTCTTAAAGCTGAGCTGTGGGTACAGTAAAGTTCATTTAAATATGTTCTTCAATAGCCACAAAGGATATAAATCCACTTTGTGAGCACCAAAAGCCTTTGCAAACTTGGATATTACCATGTAATAGTAGCAGTGACATCACTGCTGTATGTGGCCGGTGCAGAGAGCAGAGCTGTGGGAGGGCCCTGCAGGCCACACCCATTACAGGTTGCAGAAAACTACAGGAGGGGGGGGCGGAGACAAGACCAGTCACCCTGCACAAGGAAAGAGAGTAGCAGTGACCGGTCTTTATTGCACAGAGGTCAAATCTCACACTGGATTACTGCAAGAGATAAATGCCTGTTAAAGCTGAACTCTGGGCATTTTTTTCCCCATGTAGTGGGGTTGTACTTGTTTTGTCAAGGAGCGACCAGAAAGCTATATACTGGCCTGATCCTCTGCTCCAGCAGCAAACAACACTCCCCCATGATCCAGTGGTGGACTGTTCCTGACGGTTTTATGTCCAGAGCAGGTCTATGGGCGTGAAGGCATCAAGAACAGTCCACCTCACAAGACCGCAGGGGAGCTCAGGAGCCACAGAGGCCGGTCTTGTGCTGGTAGGTTTGGAGTGTTCGGTAAGTCTATTTCCGCTCTCCAGTCCCCTAGACAAAAGCATGCAGTTGACCTGTGTAGTGTGGGCCCAGTCGCTCTACATGGGGAAAAAATTTGCCAGGAGTTAATTTTAAGTCTAGGGATGCTGTTACTACTTAGCTTTGGTCAGAATTCTATGGAAAACAACACGCTACCCTACTAGGTTGGGAAGATGAAGGGCAGCACAGTGGCTAAATGGTTAGCACCTCCGCCTGGCAGTACTAGGGTCGCTGGTTCAATTCCCGACCACGGCACCACCTTCCTGGAGTTTACATGGAGTTTTACATGTTCTCCCTGTGTGTCAGGGCAGGAGCTGAGGAACGGACAGGCAGGCCTAACAATGTAACGCACTGGCTGACGACAACCACCACCCACAGACCGAAGTCCCTCAGGGCGCGGAGTCTAAGTCCCAGCTGCCCTTCACCAGGGCCCCTGATGGTGGGGATGGACTTGACGCAGCCAGGAACCAGGTCGCGGCCCCCGAGACACCTCAGCTGCGGTAATGGCCGCCGCCAATGGCGTGTAGCTGGTGGAAGAGACAAAAGAGTAGTCAGACAAGCCGGGGTCAACAACAACAGGACAGAACAGTACAGGACAGCAGACGAGAATCACAGGTCACGAGCCGGGTTCAGCAACAGAGGGTCAGATCAAAGGAGAATACAAAGAATAGTCAAGACAAGCCGAATCAGATACCAGGAGAGTCACGAGAGTCAGAACAGAGTAACAGCAACACAAAGACACAAGACACAAGTGCAAAGAGCATGTGCGGGCCACAGGCTTATATGTCATCAGCCACACCCCTCTGGAGGATGGACCACAGAAACCTGAAGGCATAAAAGGGCTCCCATCATGCACAGCAGAATCCAAGATGGACACCAGCACATGAAGTAACATAACCACAGGGAAAAGGTAGGACCTTGACACTGTGCCTGCGTGGGTTTCCTTCAGGTACTCCGGTTTCCTCCCACTCTCCAAAGACATGCTGGTAGGTTAATTGGATCCTGTCTAAATTGTCCCTAGTATGTGTATGTATGAATGTGAGTTAGGGACCTTAGATTGTACACCCCTTGAGGGTTAGGGACCTTAGATTGTACTCCCCTTGAGGGTTAGGGACCTTAGATTGTACACCCCTTGAGGGTTAGGGACCTTAGATTGTACTCCCCTTGAGGGTTAGGGACTGATGTAAATGTATAATATATATGTAAAGTGCTGCGTAAATTGACGGTGCTATATAAGTACCTGAAATAAATAAATAAATAAATAAATAAGGTGTATTACTTTATTCCTGGCACCAGCAGGTTCCAGGGCTGTCCTCAAGCTTCCAGGCTGTAAGTGGTCCTGCTACGTCATCGCACAGTGCAGGGCTAGTAACCTTGCATTGTATGTGAGGAGGCAACCATGAGACCATGGCCTGAACTTTCTTCGAGAGGATCCTGCACATAGAGGAAGCCTGCCACAGCCAGGGACAGGGAGAGTAATACACCTCACCCCTGCACCCTTAACCTCCTTAGCGGTATTCCCGAGTGTAGTTCGGGGTAAAATTTCAATTCCAAGAGCGGTAACCCCAGCTACACTCGGGCTTACCATGCGGCGTTGCTCAGGGGGTCCCTGCAGCACTTACCTTGTCCTTCGCTCCCGCGATGTGTCCCCTGCAGCATCCCCGGCCATCTCCTCCGGCCGATGCTGGCATCCGGCTTCCGTGTTCCGGTCCCTGTGACGTCTGGACGTACGGACGCCAGAACCGGCGGGAAATTTGATATTTTAAAAAAATGTCATTTTTGCTGTCATTGCTGTTTCAATGCATTTCACATACATATTGTCCCGAGTGCTTTGTCCGGCGCTCTGCCTGCATTTTTACTGTTCTTTCTGCCTGGAAACTTAGAAAAGTCCATGGGCGTCCAAAAAGCGTCCCTTTAGGTCAAAAGCGGTTTTAGAACAGCGATAGTAAATCAGAACCACTTGCAGAATTGAGTGATAATGATTTGTGGGGGAAATTCCTCATCAGACACTGAAAACGATTCTGCGACTTTGCTCAGCGATGTGCGAATTTGCCTCTGTATTTCAAATTTCAGTGTTTTTGGTTTGATTATATTATTGAATTCAATTTATTATTATTATATTATTATTTTTTTTATGATTATTTTATTAAATTATAATTTATGATTTCGTGTTTCACATTTTATCATACCCGGGATGTTTACTAGACTCTTGTTCAGACAGATTTCAGTGAGTTATTCCTAAAAATTACAGCCTACAATAAAAACTACATATTTCCATGCAAAAAAATGGTACCGCTTTCAGCACAAAAAATCAGAAATAATCAGACCGCCGAGGCGTAAAGCTACTTATGGCAGAATGCAAACCATCCAGTTCATTACAAGGCAGGTTTGATTTCACTTTCAAATTTTTTTTTTTTTTTTTTTTAGCATTTTACATTATAAAGAATACATCAGAAAGTAGAAAATTCCTTACCTTTTGTAACTAGAGGAATTTCCACTGCTCCACAATTTTTTTTTATTTTTTATTTTTTTTTGGCGTCTGGTAATATTGGTAATATTAGAGGACTGAACTTAAAGGATTTGTTTAAATTGTAAAACTCCCTTGTTTTTTTGTCCCCCCCCCCCCCCCCCCCCCCCCAGACGCTCCTAGCTAGGAGGACGCAGGAATCTTTCAGAGAGGGAACTAACAAGTCTCTTTCATTCCTCTCGCTAAGTCATGAACTCCAGTCAGAGGAATCCATTTATCATACCGGCTGGTTTATTTTCCCAGAGTCCTCTCTGTTGTTTAAGTTTGGCCTCTTCTCCTCTGCCCCCTCGGCTGCTGTGGGAAAGAAGCCGGGCCGTTTCTGTACATCTCCAAGCCTATAGAATAAGGCAGAAGGCTTGCAAAACGCTGTGATCCAACCAAGCTGTCCGAACCCGTTGCAGGTCTGCATACATGAATTGATATCTGATAGGTGGTTGTTTAACCTCCCTGGCGGTCTGATTATTTCAGATTTTTGGTGCTGAAAGCGGTACCATTATTTTGCATGGAAATATGTAGTTTTTTTTATTGTAGGCTGTAATTTTTAGGAATAACTCACTGAAATCTGTCCGAACAAGAGTCTAGTAAACATCCCGGATATGATAAAACTTGAAACACGAAATCATAAATTATAATTTAATAAATAATCATAAAAAATAATAATATATAATAATAATAAATTTAATTCAATAATATAATCAAACCAAAAACACTGAAATGTGAAATATAGCGCCAAGTTCGCACATCGCTGAGCAAAGTCACAGAATCGTTTTCAGTGTCTGATGAGGAATTTCCTCCACGAAACATTATCACTCAATTCTGCAAGTGGTTCTGATTTACTATCGCTGTTCTCTAGTCGGTCTAAAACCGCTTTTGACGCTTTTGACGCTTTTTGGACGCCATGGACGTTTCTCAGTTTCCAGGCAGAAAGAACAGTAAAAATGCAGGCAGGGCGCCGGACAAAGCACTCGGGACAAAATGTATGTGAAATGTTTTGAAACAGCAATGTTTTGCTATGTAAAATTTGTTTGAAAAAAATGACATTTTTTAAAATTTTCAAAATTTCCCGCCACCGGCGGCGGCGGCGCCCGTACGTCCCGATGTCACAGGGACCGCAACACAGAAGCCGGATGCCGGCATTTGCCGGAGGAGATGAATTGTAATTCTTTAAAAAAAAAAAAAAAAAAAGAATCCAGATTATAAAATTTACTGATAAGGGACACACTGCAGGGGACACATCGCGGGAGCGAAGGACAAGGTAAGCTCTGCAGGGACTCCCTATGCAGCGCCGCATGGTAAGCCCGAGTGTAGCTCGGGGGGGTTACCGCTTTTTGGTACTGACATTTTACCCTGAGCTACACTCGGGAATACCGCCAGGGGGGTTAAATTGATGCCCTTTGCACATGATCATTGGCTCTTGCTCTGCCTTATTGAAGAAAAATGGATGAAATATTATTACTCCCATCAGCCTGGAGTAAAAGGCAACCAGCAGGTTGTCTGGTACCAGCACACCACGGATCTATCGTCAATAGTCCAAACCTGTACTGAAGCAATGACATCACAATAGGGGCAAAGGCAACGTTTCAGGACCACACCGTTCCTTAGGCATGTGATAAGTGAAATGTGCAATAAGTAAAACATCCACCAATCAGGAAACGGCTGAAACGGCTACCCCTTACCTTTTTGACATCATAAAACCACCAAAATGATTAAAAACATAATCAGAAAGAGTTCTCCTCTTGTGTAGGTCTTATGATCAGATGTTTGGTCACATGACTTCTACCAGGAGGAGGACCGTTCAAGACCAAGCTTTAGGTTCTCTTCAGCATGACACATTTGAATCTACATCTGTAACCTTCATTATTTACCAGACCTTCACATCTATTTCTCAGTGCAGAACTCCAGCTCAAGATCAAATAAAACGGTGAATAGTCCATTAAAAGATTAAATAAAAAGGCACAACTGGCCTTTAATCTGAAACTGTCTCCTGCAGTACTTCCTTTCAACCGCTAGATGGCCTTGATTTTCCTGGTTGAATGACAGGCAGTGTCATTCAACACACTTCCTCTGAATCTAGGCTGTCGTGGACCCGCCCCTGGCCTATGGCTGGACAGTGAAGTAGAAGCAGAACAGCAATTAGCTCATTTCTCTGTCACTTTACTCTCTTCCCCTATTAGCATGCTCCTTCTCAGCACATTAAGGCTGCGTTGGAACTAACCAATGCTCCTAAAAGTAATCTGCAGTGAGTCAGGCATTAGGGTAGCCATCCTGCCACCTAATGCACCACAATCCCAAGCCAGGCATTTGGTTTGTGGTTGCGAAACTGCCCCATTGATGTGAGTGGCCAGGGTTGAAGGGCAGTACCACCTGTCAATATTTATTTATTTTATTTATTTCAGGTACTTATATAGCGCCGTCAATTTACGCAGCGCTTTAGATATATATTGTTCATTCACATCAGTCCCTAAACCCTCAAGGGGTGTACAATCTAAGGTCCCTAACCCTCAAGGGGTGTACAATCTAAGGTCCCTAACCCTCAAGGGGTGTACAATCTAAGGTCCCTAACTCACATTCATACATACACATACTAGGGACAATTTAGACAGGAGCCAATTAACCTACCAGCATGTCTTTGGAGTGTGGGAGGAAACCAGAGTACCCAGAGGAAACCCATGCAGGCTCAGGGAGAACATGCAAACTCCAGGCAGGAGGTGCCATGGCTGGGATTCGAACCAACAACCCTAGTACTGCCAGGCGGAAGTGCTAACCATTTAGCCACTGTGCTGCCTAACATGGCATGGCACATTGAATTTGCTGCAATGCAAAGTATGTGAGAGGAGACTGAAGGGGTGAGGCGAGAAATAGAAAGATAGATTTGTGTGTCATCAGCATAGAGATGGTACTTACAGCTGTGGGAGTTAAAATCTTGTAATGTATTAGATGACATTTAGAAGCTCAGCTCTTAGGTAGATATAAGAGACACAAATGAATACTGTAAATGTGAAAGCTCCCTCTGGTGGTTGTTTAGCCTCAAGGGGGGCGGTTAGGGTGTGGTAAAAGCTTGGCTCAGCCATCTGTGGGAAAGAGGTTTAAGCTCTAGTTTACACTGCTCTGACTTCTCAACACACAAAAGTCGCATGACAGGTCAGAACACATTTATTTCAATTGTAGCTGTTCCAATCAATGCGACTCAAGTCGTAGCGACTTCGAAAAAGGTTTCTGCACTACTTTGATGCGACTTCAATGCAACTTGGAGTCCCATGAACTCTTGCATGAAAGTCGCACTGGAAATTACACGACAGTGGGGTCGCAGCAGTGTGGACCGAGCCTAATTGACTCCTTGTACTGCTTCTTCCTCTCCCAACCTGAGCTCTGCTGTACAGGGACTGCAAGAGAGCAATAACAGTTCAAATTCAGGCATTTCCACTGCTCACGTTTACAGTATTAGTTTGTGTCTCTTATATCTACATACAGTTGAGCTTCTAAATGTCAACTAATACATTAAAAGATTTTAACTCCCACGGCTGTAAGTACCATCTCTATGCTGATGACACACAAATCTATCTTTCTACTCCTCACCTCACCCCTTCAGTCTCCTCCTCACCCTGACCCCTTCAGTCTCCTCCTCACACCTGACCCCTTCAGTCTCCTCTCCTCCTCACCTGACCCCTTCAGTCTCCTCCTCACCTGACCCCTTCAGTCTCCTCCTCACCCCTTCAGTCTCCTCCCTCACCTGACCCCTTCAGTCTCCTCCTCACCTGACCCCTTCAGTCTCCTCCTCCTCACCTGACCCCTTCAGTCTCCTCCTCACCTGACCCCTTCAGTCTCCTCCTCACCTGACCCCTTCAGTCTCCTCTCGCATTACTAACCTACTAAGAAACATACCGGCATGGATGTCCCTCCACTTCCTCAAACTCCATCTTTCCAAAACTGAGCTCTTACTATTCCCTCCAGCCTGTGCCCCCTCCCCTGACTTCTCCATCAAGATCAATAATACAACCATCAGTCCCTCCCCTCATGCCAGGGTACTAGGTGTAATCCTAGACTCCCATCTGTCCTTTCAGCCCCAAATCCAATCACTGTCCAAATCTTGTAGACTTCACCTCCGCAACATCTCCAAGATACGCCCATTCCTAACCTCGGAAACCACTAAGCAACTCATTCATTCACTCCCTGGTTATATCTCACCTTGACTATTGTAACTCCCTCCTCATTGGCCGACCTCATCGCAGGCTATCCCCTCTTCAGTCTATCATGAATGCTGCTGCCAGACTCATCCACCTTACTAACCGTTCTGTATCTGCCATCCCTCTCTGCCAATCCCTCCACTGGCCTCCACTCAGTGTCCTCCACCCTTCTCTGCCAATCCCTCCACTGGCCTCCACTCAGTGTCCTCCACCCCTCTCTGCCAAACCCTCCACTGACCTCCAGTCAGCGTCCTCCACCCCACTCTGCCAATCCCTCCACTGGCCTCCACTCAGCGTCCTCCACCCCTCTCTGCCAATCCCTCCACTGACCTCCACTCAGTGTCCTCCATCCCTCTCTGCCAATCCCTCCACTGGCTTCCCATTGCCCAACGGTAAAAATTCAAAACATTAACAACATATAAAACCATTTATAACTCTGCCCCAAATTACATCACCAATCTTGTCTCCAAATATCACCCAAACCGTCCTCTCCGCACTTCCCATGACCTCCTGCTCTCTAGCTCCCTTGTCTCCTCCTCCCATGCTCGTCTTCAGGACTTCTCCAGAGCTTCCCCTATCCTCTGGAATTCTCTACCCCAATTTATCAGACTATCGCCTACTCTGTTCACTTTTAGGCGATCTCTGAAAACCTATCTCTTCAGGGAAGCCTATCCTGCCCTCAGCGAATAATGGAATCCTCTACTCTTCCTACCAGTCCATCCCCCACAGTTATTACCTTTTGTACCACTAGCCCCTCCCTCCTAGATTGTAAGCTCCCAGGATCAGGGCCCTCCTAACCCTCTTGTATTGAACTGTATTGTTGCTGTATTGTCTCCCATTATATTGTAAAGCGCTGAGCAAACTGTTGGTGCCATAAATCCTGTATAATAATAATAATAATAATTTATTTTAAGGGTATTTCCTTTAAAAAATATTTTGTAAAAATGAACCCTGACCATGTCTTTTTGTGCCATGGCAATGCCACTAGCAAAGCGAAGGAGTGATGGGAATGGTTAAGCGGGCATCGTGTGTCTGGCATTGAGTTGGAGGTTAGGCGGAGGGATCTTTTTACCTCTTGAAACGGAGAGAAGGGAATGTGTACAGGATTTGGTCAGGATTAGAATGTGTTGCTCAGCGTTTGTGGGATACAGCCGAGACGCTGCGTGAAAACCTTTGATCCGTGCTCCGGGGGCCTCCGCCCTGAAGGATTCTGGGAAAAGTGCAGCTGCCGTTCACAATGTATTTAATTTAAGTGGTTAAGCCAAAGCTTTGTATTGTGCGTTTCACGTGCAGAATCAATTTTTTGCTTTCCAGCACAATTTTTTTTTTTTCCTCAGTTGCTATTATAGAGGCTCGCTGTGCTCTCGGTGGCCAAATGATTTTTGGATAATCGGCGGATGGATGGCTGTGTTCATTTAGAATATTTACAAAGCCAATGTTTCCAAAGAAACTCTCTAGAATCCAGTCCTATTTACTGCAATGCTGCTGTTATCGTAACATTTTTATTGAATTGTATAGCGCCAACATCCTCTGCAGCGCTGTACAAAGTGATACAAATGGGGGCTATAATAGCGATATTATTACTTATAAAGCACTGGAAGCCAAATTCAATAAAAGTTTGAGGAGACTGGTTTACAAGAACCGTATTGTGAAAGGATTGCAGGCTGCTTTCCGAATTCTGGCTCGGCTCCACAAACCGCCAAGAATTTACTCACAGCCCAAAGTGAACCTGGCGGCCATTTTTAAAGAGCTGCTTGAGAACGGGCAGCACAAGGTGCTTTCACTGTCCGCTATGCCCTTTCCACTTGCCACCCCACCATTCTATGAGAGTATCTCAACAGCCATAAAAAGGTTACCCTTGTATTTTGTTGGAAGAGCTTAAAGTGGACCATCATCGGGTATAGTTTTAGAGTAAATGTGAAATTGGAACACTTCCAGGTATTTATTACTTCCCACAGAGATCACAGTTCCAACAATGCTTTTATTAAGTTTGTGTGTGTGTGTATATATATGTGTGTGTGTGTGTGTGTGTGTGTATATATATATGTGTGTGTGTGTGTGTGTGTGTATATATATATATATATGTGTGTGTGTATATATGTATATATGTGTGTGTGTATATATGTTGTGTGTATATATGTGTTGTGTGTATATATATGTGTGTGTGTGTGTGTGTGTGTATATGTGTGTGTGTATCAATATGTGTGTGTGTGGTGTGTGTGT